TGCCTCTCTCACCTTCCCCACCATTGGTCCAGTTTGTTCACAGAACTCCTTCCACTGGCTCCAGTCTCCAAGCAGGTGCACCAGCCATTTCCCTCACCCCTGTGGAGCATCCATCTCTTTCAGCTCTCAGCCTGATGCTCATCTCCCTAGAGTGGTCCCCTCTGATCGCCCAGTCTAAAGAAACTGCTTACCACCATAAATTCTGTTATATTCTTTCACGTCTATTTGTTTGCTTATTTTCTTTCTTACCTACTAAGAAAAAAGTTTCATGAAAGCTTGTAGCTTGTCGGTTTTATGCCTGGCATTATGAAGGAAAAAATTATTCTCACACTTGCTAAAATGGTTAAAAAAATTTTATTCAATACTATTGCAGTAGGAATTTGAAAGAAGAAATATATATCCTTGCACTCTTGCAACTGGAAATTGGTAACCAAAGAGCAAAACGAGGAGATCAGTGGCTGGAAAAATACTATCATAGAAGGAGACATGGGGGGTATAGGGGTTCTTGCTAAGCTGACTTAACTGGATTCTTGCTGGGATCAGGCCAGGGTGATCAGACATCAAGAGTTGTGGGATAACTCAGCAAGACTCTTTGCTGAGAAGGGGCTGGGTGAGCCAAAGACAGGGTGGAAGGCAAGGTTGAGCTTAGTCCAGAAGGCTAATGAATTCATCTCAAAACATGCTTCCCTAGGTGTGAGAGAACATTCTAGGGATGTATGCAGCAACGAGCTTTTCACTACCTAAGAAGAACCAATGTGCAGTGCTTTGAAAACAGAGCAATTGGGGAGAGGGCCTAGACAAGAGGGCTGAGTAACAGCCTTGGCCTGCAGCTTCAGGAGAGTCTGAGGAGGGAAGAGTGAGGGCCAGATGTCCTCTACAAAAAGCATACTGAAGAAGAATGGTCATTCATGCTAAAATCAAGATTCAGAAACAGGCTGACTCTAAAATTTGTATAAAGTTATAAATAATAGCAAGTAGCAAACATGATCTTGAAAACTAAAACTGGAAGACTCATTTTTCTAGATTTCAAAACTTACAACAAGAAATCAAAGCACTGTGATTACTGTACAAGGCTAGAGAAAAAGATCAACAGAACAGAATCAAGTCCAGCAATAAATCCATACATCTATGGTTAACTGAATTTCAACAATGCCAACCTGATCACTGGTGGAGGAAGAAGTCTCTTCAATAAATTGGATATTAGTAAGCAAAATAATGAATTGGACTCTTTCCTCAAACTATATTAAAAACATCACTCCAAATTGATTTTTTTAAAAAATCTAACTATAACAAGTGGAGCTATAAAAATCCTAAAAGAAAAACATAAGGGTAAATCTTCTTTAATTTGGACTTGGCAGTGGCTTTATAGATATGACACAAGGGTCAGGGATTTAGCTCAGTGATTCTGGGGCCTGCCTCACAAGTACAAGGACCTGAATTCAATCCCCAGTACCAAAAAAAACAAACAAAAAAAAAGACAAAAAAAGCTATAGATATGACACAAAAAGCAAAAGAAAAAGATAGATTAATTAGACTTCTTCAAAACTTTAAAAAATTATATCAGAAGATAATTTTTTAAATTCCCAGTGAATGGAATAAGATATTTTTAAATCAAACCCCTGATAAGAATGCAATATCAGGAATACACGAAGAACAACTATGAGCAAATGATTTGAGCATCTTTTTTTGCCAAAGACACAAATTGCCTACAAAAGTATCAGAGGGCCTCAGTCCTAAGGGAAATGTAAATAGAAAACATAATTATACACTACATATTTCACATCTTCTAGGACAGTCATCACTTATTTTAAAAGGCAGAAAAAGACCAGTGGTGATAGGATGTGGAGAAATCAGAACACTTACACATTGCTAGTGTGATTATAAAATCATTCAGCTCTATGAAAAACAGTTTAGCAGCTCCTCAAAAAGTTTATTTAATAATTTTGCTCCTACATGTGCACTCAAAATAATTGAAGATAGCTGTTCAAACAAGAAGTTCCACACTTGTGTTCTATTCACTAATGCACTATTCACAACTGTGAGAAGGTAGAAATAACGCAAATGTCCATAAGCACACACATACAATAAAAATATGGTATACCCATTCAATAAAATATTGTTCATCCATAAAAGGAAATGAAATAATGACGGATGGTACTACACATATGCACTTTGAAAACATTTTAATAAATGGAAGCATCCAAAAATTTTCCTTACATATTCTTACCTTACTACAAAACACGGAGTCTACAGTTTAGTCAAGGGGAGTATGTCAGCATACAGTATGCTCTCAAAAATACTGACTGATTAAATGAATAAATACATGAATGAATTTTCTTCCCTCAGATATAAAATGATTGATGTGCTATTTAAATTTTTCATTCCTTCACTTTTCCATTTCACTTGCTCCCATAAACAACTGAATAAACAAGGAAAGAAATCCAAAGAAAAAACTTTCTACTCATACAGTTAAAAGAGTAAATCTTCATAATAATGGTACCCTTTGTCATTTATTCCTCATTTATTGAGAGCTCCCTATAAATGATTACCTTCTAGGCATGGACAAACAAGCCTGAAAGAAGTATCACTGTCTTTGAACACATTAAATACTAAAGTTACTGTTACTGTCTGAGTGATAAATCCATGAATGCGTGGGGTTCAGAAAGGGAGTGTGGATGGCTGAAGAGCAGAAGCAGCAAAGGGGAGCCCAGCTTGGCAATGAGGCAGGTAAAAGAAAGACCTGGGAGAAGCAAACCATAGTAAGACTTTCACAAATCAAATTCCCTTTAATACAACTGCCAGAACCCCTCCTCATCTTCTGCAACATTACAAACCCCAGGATACAGTTGGTGTGATTTGATTTCTGGTGGAAACCAAGGGATCAGGTGCAGTTAAAGGTTTCCACAGGACTTAGACACAGACAAACAGAGGGACAGCTACACTTCTGGGTTATGTTAATAAACTGGAAATCATGATTTTAAAAAAGAAAAGCATTGAATCCAACTGTTTCAGCAGATGTCAAAGAACAAAATGGCACAGACACCCATGAAAATATCATTTTGCGCCAAATGAACTGAGAGGGCTGAGGAGGAAAATGTGCCTCACGTGAATGTGATGCTGCTACAAAAACTCCATCAGGTGGAGCATGATCTCATTACCTCCCACAAGAGGAAAGGTCAAGAGGGTGAAAAAAGTGAGGCGCTCATTCCTGGTGCTACTCTGAGCATACTCCCTGCCTCACTTACACACTTGGTAGTGCGAAGATGAAGTACAAATCTGAAAATAATGTTTGGTAAGACCTGTGCATTTTCATAACCAATATTTGAGTTTATCATGATATTTTCTAATAACTAGAAAAAAGTTTACACACAGTAGTATCATAACCCAAAGTAAACTAAATGATCCCAAACTATAGCAGCAGAAAAGCTGACAAAAAGAAAGCTAGCCCAACGTGTGTGAGGTGATATACGGTGGTAATGATTTCCAACACATGTTCATTTTAAAATTGTGCTAATTGGAAGATTTGCTTCTTCTATGTGAAAGCAACTAATACAAAGTTGATGACAGCAGGATCAGGCATCAGAACCCCACAAGGAAATTACAGATGTAATAGATATCTCTGGGTGCCTATAAGACTTTTAAATCTAAATTGAATCTTTATTTAGAAATCAATTTATGTGGGTAGACTCATTACCCTAGAGTATTTGTTTGCTATTTTATGAATGTTTCAAGCCAGCAACTTTTTCCTTAAGGTTATAAATGGCTCTGACTAAATAAAATATGAGGATAGATTTGTGTAATAAATGTCTCTGGCATTATCTATTTATTTGTCCATCAAAATGTGCAGACTTTATTTTTATAGTAATAGTTATTTAACTATCAAACCTTTTATTTTATGAAATAAATTTCCTATAAGTGACCGATTTCCCCCTCTATCCTCCAAATGAACTAAAACAGTAAGACTTCAATTTTTCCCAGAGATTATGAGGTCAATTTAACCTCACTTTCAGACAAGGTAAAGCTACATAAATTTATATATCTCTATTACATGCAAAAATTATTTACATAAATTGTTTTAAAGAAAAAAGACATTTTCTCTAAAGCTTTAACAATTGCTCCTTTTAGATACATATTTCCTTATCCTGAGAAAATAAGTATGGTCATCATTTAAGTAGAATTCAGCCTCTAGGCATAGGTGGTGGGAAAGGAGATGTTCCAGAGTCAGACAGAGCCAGGGCAGAGGAACTTTGTCCGCCTGTGATGAACACCAAGGCTGATGTGGCTACACTACAGATTCCCAAAGAGAGTGAATTTCATCCCACTGGCATGGATACCCAAGGAATCTACACCAATATTTTATTTTATTGATAAGTGAGGAGGTCAAGGGGTGACAACACCATAGAACTATGTGGTTCATCTAACTTGAGAAAAAGATTACAGCTAACAGTAAACAGTCCAGAATATGGAGAACAGGGTACAAATCTCAGCAAAAGCAGGTTTGTCAATAACAGATTTAAGGCAAGATTCCTGTCCCAATAAGTTTCTATCAGAAACTAAGGAAGAAGCACATTCATACGGGCTAGGCAAGGTTAGACACATAAGGATTTCAGCATACATAAATTACATAGCCTCTCTATATAGCCCATAGCCACTGGTAAGGAGGACTCCTAATTCTAGTATTGACCATGGTCATGGAAAAAGCCAGGTTTCTGGCTTTTTTAAAATACTAAGCATTGAATCTAGGGCCTTTGCACTGAGCTATATTCCCAGCCCTTTTTTAAAAAAATTAATTAAAACAGGGTCTCAGTAAAATGCTAAATTGCCTGGACTGAGTTCAAACATTCAGTTCATCTGTCTCAGGCTTCCAGAGTGCTGGGATTACATGTGTGTGCCGCTATACCCAGTTTAAGATCTCAAACTGAGTGGGATTATCCAAATATGCCTGTTGGGTTCCCTGAAATCATGTAGCATGGAGAGTTTCCAAGATTGCAAGATAAAGTATGGAAAAGCTGAACTATCGAATGAAAAGTAACGCAGAAATTACCAATGCAGAAAATAATTACTTCAAGTATGTAATAAGGTAATGATAAAAAGATAAACACTTTTTTACTGTAATCCCAGAAATCTGAAGCGATAGAGTGTCAGTGCCTCTCCCTCAAATGTCAAGGTTTAGGAGTAGGCTTCAAGCTTCATTTTCTCTTGATCATCAAGTTTCATATTTAAGGTTCTCTTTTCCAGCAAAATCTCCTGCTGTGCTTGAAAATTTCTTAATTAAATTTTCAAATTTTCTGCTACCACGGCAAAAAACTACATAAAGTAATTATCAAGCTAATAAAAAGAATGAAAAACATTTTTTATTTTCCCCAAAGCATACAACAATATAAAGTTGTAAACATAGACTTAAATGATTTGTTCCACAGTTATTTCAGCAAATTAAAATACCATCTACCTTTCATGACAATGCAGAGAGGAGATTTAGAATATAACAAAGTAAAGAAATTATCAGAGACAAATTTTCATCCAAACTCACCATGGGACTAATTAAAAGTGACAATTTGAAAAAATAATTTCCAAATTGCTCAATTTTTTATTACTAAAACTACAGTAAATGTTTGGGACAAAAAAATTGCTAAACATAAAAAAAATTGTAAAAAAAGAAAGAAACATTCAAAAGTCCAACATTTAAAGTTAAACAATGCTAACATTTGAGTATACATTCTTCCAGTCTTTTTCTAGGCATATACTATATAATTTATTATTGTAGAGTTTGTTTCCATTTTTTTCCATATTGTGCAAAATGCTTTATCAAACTTTCTTTTATATATTTTTGTGTACAAAAGCAACTATTTCCTTGGGCTATATTCTTACAAGTAACATTGCCATATTAAAGGATATGACAATTTAAATGTTTTGCTCTATATTACCAAAGTGCTTTCCAAAATGGTAGTATAAATTGTATCTGCCCAACCCCTTCAATGAAAATGAGTGTTTATTAGTATCACTGATTACACTGACGGTATTACTTTTGATTACTGTCAAATAAAGAGAAAATGTGGGCCAGGGATTTAGCACCATGCCTGCCTCACATATGCAAGGTCCTGAGTTCAGTCCTGGTACCAATAAATAAATAAATAAACAAAAAGAAGATGCATCATTTTATATTTGAATTGTTTCAACTACTACTTATTCCAACTATTTCTTCATGCTCATGTTTATTGGCCATGTAAATTTCCTATTTTAAAAACTGTCCCTATGCCCCTGTTGCATTTTTCTGACTGTTCAGTTTTCTTATCATAAAACATCCTATTTGTATTATTAAGCCTTCTTAAATAATAAATTACAGAATGTTTTGTTCAGTTTCTCACTTGAGCTATAACTATCTTTCTGGTGGTTTTTTTACATACAGAAGATTTTTGAATTTTTAATCAATGAAATATTACATATATGTGTGTGTGTGTGTGTGTGTGTGTGTGTGCTCAGAAAATCTTTTCCCACTTCAACCCAGTTCAATTATATAATACATGTCTACAATCTCTTCATTAAGTTCTTTAATGAGTTTCACTTTTTCCATTTAGTCCATATTCAATCTAGAATTTATGTTGGTATTACAAGATTTTAAGTTTATTCCTTTCCATGTACCTAAACACTTAATCACATGTCTTCTATTCTTGTGGTTTTTCAAACACCTTTTTAAAACAATGCTTTCTCCAAACAAAATATTCTTACAATAGAAGCCATTATACACATTTTAAGTTAATGTGCAGTTGTGCTAGTTAAAATAGAGGTGGAGTAATGGTTTCAGGGGAGGGGATTTTCTGCTTCAGCTTGCAAGCTCTACAGAACACCATTTATAAAGCATTTATTCTTATCCTACAGATTCAAAATATCACAATTATATTGTATTAGTTACCTGTCCTGGACCTGATCTGATCATCTATGCTTTCACTAGTATCCTGTTGTTTTAAGGCTTATAGCTTTAAAATATACTCTAATAACTACACTTACCTACACAAACACCCCCACAGCCCACACACATATGCACACATATGCACATACACACTCTTACTCCATTATTTTTCAAATTTTTCTTGGCTACTATGTCCATTTATTTTTCCATATATACATTTTAATGAAACTCCTAATCTTATTTATCCTCAAAGCTGCCTCCAGTATATCAGGAGATTACATCAAATTTATAAATTGATTTGGGGCTAGTTGACATGCTAAATGCCTTTTGATCAAAATTTATAATATAATTTACCATATTTCAGCTCAGCTTATCCTTTACAAAATGTATGAGTTTTACATATTTCTTATTGTTTCTAATTATATATTTTGTATTTGTTTTATTATTGTGATTGAAGTCATTATAACACTTTCACAATATTATCGATTTATAAGAAAACTTGATTTTTTTTTCTTCTCTTACTAGTTTTAAAATTGTTTTGTTGATTGTATGGAATTGGTAATCAAATCACCATCAAAGAGTAAACTGGCCCTATGATTATTTCTTTTTCAAATATAATTGTATCAGCCAAACATTCCAGAAAAAAATTATATCATTATAGCATTTTATATAATGTTATAAAGCTGTTTTTGAGGATCTTTATTTTGGCTGACTTTAACTGCATGCCTCATACAATAACTAATAATGTCAACATAAACTGCTTGCTTGAAAAAACAGTTCAGGACTAGGGATGTAGTTCAGTGGTAGAGTGCTTTCCTGGCACACGTGAGGCCCTGATTTCAATCTCCAGCACCAAAAAGAAATAAAGATTTTTAAAAAGTCTGTAGCATGTTGATATATTTTTCTATCTTAAGTTTAGTAAAAAGCCTTTAAGAAAGATACTGTTTACCAAATCCTTTTTCAGCATCATACTGTTTTTCTCCTTTCAACTATTAATTACATTAGTATATTTTTCTCACACCAAGTCATCTCTGAATTTCTGGAAGTTACGTATTTTTCTTTTCATATAATGGTACTTTTTTTTTTTTTGGTCCTTGTGCTTGTGAGGCAGGCCACCGAACCATTGAGGTAAATCCCCAGCCCTGTACATTTTATTTTTAAGTATTTTATTTTAAAATTCTGCATCTGTGTTCAGAAGAGAAAAAAATACCTCATTTCTCAGCATTAAAATTTTGATACTTTTTTATTTGGATATTAATATTACATTACTGGCTAAATCTAATACGATTTTAATAAAGCATAAGTTCCCAGGGTAAACTGTAAACATTGCTCATTTTCAGCAAATGATGAAATACTCCATTTACATCAATGAAATACCTTCAGACAACATTTGTCCAGCAGTTAGGCAATAAATTGTCTTACAGATAATGGTAAAGACAGAATACAGCCAATATGAGAATTTACAAGACAATTCTACCATGAAAAAAATCAGGATTATTAATCTAATACTCACTACTCAAGTTTATATAATTTGCAGGCATAATATTCTGCAGAAAAATATGGTTGACTAAAAATATAAAAGTTGAAGTTACTATGAAGTAATATAATGGACATAAGTAAGTTAAAATGTACTCATCAAATGTTTATTATTACAGGTATTTTCTCAGATATAGTCTGAAATGCTATAGGATATCCCCAAGATCTCACATGAGATACTTGTTAAAATGGGCCCCATCCCAGACTTAATGAATCCAAGTTACAGGAGAGGGGTCAAGTTCGTATGACTGATTTTTTTTTTTTTTAGTTTATTGGTACATTTTAGGTATACAGTACAGTTATATTCATCATTGCGATCTTGACCTTTACATGACAGATCTTGGTCTTCATTTTTTCCCCTTGTCCTTGCCCTCCCTTCGCCCCCCACCTCCCCTCCCCATTTACAAACACTTTATTTCCATTTTTTCATTTTCTCATATTTTTTTCTTTGCCCTTATTACCTTCCCCGTACCCTTCCCACTTTTCCTACACCTTTAGCCCTTTTCTTCCTATTGTATGACTGATTGATGTAGTGACTAATTGATGTTGCACTGAGGATCAAAGCCAGGGCCTTGCACTCTACCACTGAGCTATATATCCCTAATTCTTGTTTATTTTTAAATATGTATCCAGATCAATTTTATGATCAGGAAAGCTTAGGAAACAGGTGCTCTAGGAGACTCAGGAAGCAGTGGGATATTTCTAGTGTCCTCATCAATCATACAGAGGAGCCTAACCCCTAAGATGTACACTCAACATCCAAGATCTAAACCTGAGAATCTCAGCATGAGGCTGAGGATACATTCTCATGTACAGACAGGTTGGTAGAAGCCCCTAAATTTCTCTCTAAAGGAGCTTAGCAGCTCAATCTCACGGTAAGTATGGGTAAAGGAACTTGTCTTGTAAGTTTATTGTAGCAAACTCACTCTTTGTACTTGATTACATGTTTAAGTGGGATGGCTTTGGGAAGCCAATGGAAATTATAGAGGCTAAAGCCACTCTAAGTCACAATTTGGCACCCTGACTGCCACAGGAGTTGAGTGTGTTTCTCAAAATAGATCCAGACAAAAATAGCCTGAGTCTTTACTCTCATTAGAGGAAAGAAAAAAGTAAGCCATACACTACAACATAAATCTGAGGGGAAATAGCATAATGCAAGTGAGAGCTATAGGTTGAGAGGTTCACAGGGAATTTGATTATTTAGAAGGGAGATATTATGGCTTATATCTAGATGCCCCCCAAAGCTCATATGTGGACTTATGGAAGTTGATTCAATTGTGGGGGCTTATATTTGACTTGGTGTTAGGAGTTGGGGTTTGGTCTTCTAGAAGTAAATCACTAAGGGAGGTCTGGAAGGGTTTACCTCATTCCTCAGCACCTCCCTTCTCTCTCTACTTTCTGGATGCCACAAAACGATCAGTTTTTCTTCTGCCATGCCTCTGTCCCATGCCATCCTGCTGTGGAGCCAGACAACCATGGGCTGAAATATGAACCAAAATAAACCTCTTCTCCTTTAAGTTGTGGGTATTGTGTCTCAGCAACAAGAACAGTTCTGAGCAACAAGATGGGAAAATTGAACCTGTGTATACATGGAGGACTGGGAAGAGGAAGAGAGAAGGGAGAAAGAGAGCAAAATTTAGAAGCTGTGAAAGTGAAAGAGGAACACTGGGCACAGCAGAGGAAGCAGGACCACAGTCTGGAGGCTGCTGTTGGGAGCCAGCGTGGGTGAAAGCTAACAGCAGAGGAGTGAGTGTTATCTTAATCATGGAGCCTTTCCTTACTCATCTGTTTTCTCTTCATCATCTGTGCCAGTCCTAACTAAGAGAGGAAGAGTGTTAACAACTTAGCTCCTTGGGATTCCTGGAGCTGTTCCCCTGGGTATAGATCTGTTCCACAGTGTGTACAGGGTGAACCCAGGATATTCAAATGGCCACCAAGCTGCAACTTCCCTCAACCAGGCTGTTAGAAAATCCTACACTCATTGCAGCAATTCCAAATGAGTAAGCAGCTATGTTTTGTCTGTCTCTCCCAGAAAACAAAAGTTCTAGCCAGGCAAGGGGCTGGAGCTACAGTTCCATCAGATCATGACTGGCAACTGCTTCCTGGTGCTGACTACCAATGAACTTGACAAGGGGGAAGACAATCAACTACCTCTGGAGCTTTCAGCTGCTCTAACATACGGCAGTATCTTGCAGAACATACTTAGAAGAGAGCAGTGCTTGTCTGACCAGTAGTATCAATGCCACCTAGAAACAAGCTAAAAATGCAAATTATTTAGCCCAGTCCCAGACCTACTAAACCAAGAATTCTGCAGGCAGGGTATGGTGAAATGGGTGTTAACACATCTGCTGGCAATTCTGATGTGTGCCACTGTCCTGTGGGAAGGTCAGATTACTGCCAGGCCGTATTCACTCTGCCTGCTCTTGTCGGGTAGCAATTACTCCTGTGTCTAGGGTGGAGGTATAGGAGTTGTCCTTCAAGCTCCTCACTGCCACACCCCTTTCTTCCTACTTTCTCCTGAAGAGGCCTGAATTTGACTCTCATCAAACGCCAACATACACTTGTTCTCCTCATAATAATCATCTGCCCATCTCCAACTCAAACCTTAAAACCTTGGCTCTAGTTCATGACACACTGTCATAATTCTTCCAAGTTTTCATATTCCTGTCTGTGATCTTTTCAATAACATGTTCTCTCAGTTCCTCATTCTTCTCTCCTCCAATCAACTTTCCTTACCCCATGGTCATCTTCCCCTCTGTCATCTCAAGTCCAAGGATCCCATTTTCTCTCTTTCTGGCACCTTTTTAGCACAGCTGCAGCAGTGCTTCCACCTCACCAGAACCCACTGGTTTCATGGCGTCCCTTTCCTTCTTAACCAACCTAGGATTCACGGTCCACCATTTTAATCACTCACTTGCACATACCCTTGCTCTTCGTCCTTCTATTACCACAAGACCTCATAAGGGAAAACCACAACATGGTTTAAATCCGGCTCTCTGCATCCATGATAACTAATATTACCAGAATATGTGGGCTCCTGATGCTACCCATAAATTATATTTTATTTCTCCTGTCCATTTTCTCTCCCAAGAAGCTACTCAATACTTTTATTATCACTCTTCAAATCTCCAACACTGCCTCTATCATCACTCCGTCAGTGATTTGCCTCCTATTTCACTGAAAAACAGAATCTAGAAGAAAAGAAAGTCTAAAAGTCCCATATTTGCTATGTTACCTGCATCTGTGCCTATATGTTCTATACTCTGTCACTACTGGAAAGAACAACTCATGCTTACAGGAAAGGATAACCCTACAATATACACATGACGTCCCTTCTTCCCACTGATTCAGGTATATCACTCCAGCACCCCCTCACTTTATTCTACATCACCATTTTTTTTTTGGTCTCCTGGACTCTTCCCATCAGTACTGTACCATTCTTCCATCTTGAAAAACTTCCTCTTAACTCTGCTTGCCTATTTTTCTACTCTTTATAGGTCAACTCCTTGAAAAAGTTAGCCACACTCACTATGCTCAGTACTTTTCTGTTCTCTTTGACCCACTCTACCAAAACTTTTACCCTGACCACTGTATTCAGTCTATCCTTATGAAAGTCCATGATGATCAATACTTAGTCATATCTTTTTTTTTTCTTTTTTTTTTTTTTTTGGCATTGGGGATCAAACTTGGGACCTTGAGCTTATGAGGCAGGCAACAGCACCACTGAGCTAAATCCCTGGCCCCTCATATTTTATTTTGACCCAGTCGATGGCTCTTTCATCATTAACATACTATTTTCACTAAGCTTTAGGACTTCCCCTCTTGGTTTTCATCTTACCTCACTGGCCACTTCTTGGTCTCCACTAATTCCACACCGAATTCAACACATGGCCTGGATTATGGGTCACCCCTGACTAGATACCAAATGCCTGGTCCCAGTTTTCCAAACTTACTGTCACTCTGGATTGTTTTAATACAAACAACACCTTTTAGTAGGGTCTGCATCCAAGAAGATCCTGGAAGCTCAGCTCTAGCCAACTAGAACTTTCCTCTGGTTCTCAACCTAATCTGCTGAGGATCCTCTGCATGCTGGAGGATCCTTCTCCCACTCTTTGACAAGAAGAAAGAAGGAAGAATATGCAAGCCTAAAGTGAGAATGTTGGATAAATCTCAAAAGGCTATGGAAGGACCACTAACTTTGGCTTTTATAATTGTATAAACAGATATATGCATTTGTGCTTTCTTTTACTTCTACAGATAAACCAATGCCACCCTCAAACAGTATTTCTAGCCCTATATGCATCAGTTCCCTGGGGATAAGACAGTCAAACTTGCATTTTCCTCTTCCTTGTCCTCATCCCTACTCAAAAAACCCAAAAGTTTTCTGTCCTTTATTTTACCCATTTTATTTTATGTCTATTCCCCCTCTGTGATCCCAACTTTGTTCCAGACCTTGTGTTCAACTTTCTTGCTCCCTATGCTACAAGGAACAAGCCTGAATTTTTCTGTTCTGCAGCTCCAGGACCTGAAACACATGTGTAAAATATTCCTGAAGGAAAGCAGTGTTCTCACCACAAAAATGACAACTATGTGAGATAATGCATCTGTAAATTGCTATATTTAACCATTCTACAATGTGTATATACTTTAAAAATGTGTATACACTTTATAACATCAGGTTATATATGATAAATACGTACAATTTTTTCTGTCAAATGAAAAGAGAAATAATAAACACACTGCTGGGGTTGTGGAAGGCAGGATATACATAAGAAGGAAAACAAATGTTGAAGTCAGCTCAAGATAATTTTTAAAGTAGGTTTCATACAGCTTGTTTAAGATACAAAAGAGAGGGAGGAAAAAGAACAAGAGAATCAAAGGGGACAAAAGATAGTGAAATCACTCAGGATGTGGAGGATAGATGCCTTTCTCTTAGATTTCAATGAATGATAAAGTAGCTAAAGAAAACTGAATATTTTCTTTGAACTAACACAGTTTGAAGTATATGTGTGTGTGTGTGTATTCAATTAATATAATAATCCCATTAATTAATATTTACATAATTGTTCCTTTATTTGATTTTATTCTGTAGATCATATATTACATAAAGAAATACAGTAATTTGCCCAAGATCAGATAGATATCAAGTGACAAATCCAGAGTTTTAACTCAAGCAATCTGGTTCTAGCACTAGGCTCTTAACTACTCCAGTGTCTACCATGAGAATACAAATATAGGAAGTTAGTATGTCTTAGTGAAGAACAGGGTAAGCTATGTGGGAACTCATTCTGAGTCACCCCAATTTTTTCTTTAAAAGAAGAGATAATTTGCCTCCTGCCTCACAAGCACAAGGTCCTGAGTTCAAAACCAGGTTAAAAAAAAAACAAGAGGTAGGAAGATCTCCAGAAGTTCTTTCACTAGAAATATAATGTGAGCCACAAATAGGAGTCACAAATATAATTTCATATTTTCTAGGGACCACATTTAAAACATAAAAAGAGGCAGATCCCGAGGAACACTGGTGTGGACCAGAGCTGCACAGCTGCAGGCAAATCCCAGTCAGGGCTAGGTCCCACCCCAGAGGATCAGGCACACCAGCCCAAGCAGAAATCAATGAAATGGAGACTAAGAGAATGATACAAAAAAAATCAATGAAGCCAAGAGTTCGTTCTTTGAAAGAATAAACAAAATTGGCAAACCCTTAGCCAATTTTATCAAAAGAAGAAAAAAAAAAGGCCCAGATCCACGCAATTAGAAATGAAAAGGGTGAAATTACAATGGACCCAGTAGAAATCCAGAGGTTTATCAATACATACTTCAAGAAACTATATGATAGAAGCAATGGACAGATTCCTAGATACATATGCATTGCCAAAGTTGAACAAAGATGACATAAAAATTCTAAACAACCGAACAACAATCAATGAAATGGAAATTGTAGGCTGGGGATTTAGCTCAGTGGTTCAGTGGCCTGCCCTGCAAGCACAAGGACACGAGCTCGATCCCTGGTACCAAAAAAAAAAAAAAAAAAAAAAAAAAAAAAAAAAAAAAAAAAAAAAAACAAACAAGAAATTGCAATAAAAAACTTACCAACTAAGAAAAGCCTGGTCCCTGATAGCTTCACTGCTGAAATGTATAAGACATTTAGAGAGGAACTACTGCCACCACTGTTTAAACTCTTCATGGAATTTGAAAGGGAAGTAATACTCCTAAATTCATTTCTGGAAGCAAGCATCACCTTGATCCCCAAAGCAAAGAAAGATCCAACAGTAAAAGAGAACTATAGGCCAATCTCACTTATGAACATACATGTAAAAATCCTCTATAAAATACTGAAATAGAATGCAGAAGATCATCAAGAAGATCAGACAGCCTGACCAAGTTGGATTCACCCCAGATATGCAGAGATGGTTCAACATGTGCAAATCAATAAATGTAATATACTATATTAATAGAGAAAAGGATAAAAACCATATGATCATCTCAACAGATGCAGAAAAAGCATTCAACAAAATCCAACACGAATTTGGGATAAAAACCCTCCAAAAAATTAGAATAGACAGTCTCTATTTCTGATAAAAGCCACCTATGAAAAACCAACAGATAATATCATACTAAATGGTCAAAAACTGAAATCCTTCACACTAATATCAGGAAAAAGACAAGAATGTCCACTATCACCATTCCTGTTCAATACATTATTGGAAACATTAGCCACAGCAATTATAAAAGAGAAAGAAATAAAA